ACCTTCATTTAAAAACTGCATGTTGTGTTTACTTGTGTTATCTTTGACTAATATTTAAATTTGTTTGATGATCTGAAACATTAAAGTGTGACAAACATGCAAAAAATTAAGAAATCAGGTAGGGGGCCAACACTTTTTCACATCACTGTATTACTGAATTTACTGTATTTTAAATGGATTTTTTATGCTTAAGCCTAAAGTGTACTTCGGTTTTAACACGTATGGTCAAGTATGCATAGCCAGATTTTACTGTGTACGCTGAGCTTGCACATTCTCCTTTTTTTTTTTTTTTTTTGCATTAATTACTTTGTCCGAAAGGTGGCAACACTGGGTGGGATGTTGTTACTCAGTCTCTTATCAAGGCTGTATTTATTCGATAAAAAATACAGAAAAAAAAACAGTAATATTGTATTGTACCCATACTTGATGAAGGTAGTGACTGAAAAATAGTTTGACCAATAGCATACAGGCATTGTACATAATTAACCAGTTGTGGCATGCGAGAAAGTGGGATCTACAGAGAACGGTCAAAGCAATGCAAATACATGCACATATGTATGAAGACTGTACAGAGCATGTCAATAGAAATACAAAGCCAAAACCCGGACTTGTTAGGCAATTTAGAAATCCTGGCCTGGACATCTCCAGGACAAAGAGGACGTATGGTTCACATACTTTATGGTTCTGTGTTGTTAGCTTAGTAGTACTGAAATCAACTGACTCCTGTGCATTTAATTTGAGTAGTGACCTGTTCACACGGGACTCATTCCATCCCCTTATAAGGCAGCTCACTAGGGTTTGAAACAGAGCTAGTATGTGTGTCCACTGTACCTGAAAGGATAGGTCTGGTTCAAGTCTCTGAAGGGCTGAATTGGCACTGTGGAGGCAGATTGCCAAAAGTGCCTCCAGCAGTCGGATGCTCTGGAGAGGCCATTCCTCTTCAAGCCTGTGTGTTGGGTCACTTGACTTGCTCTCGACCTGAGAGGGGCTGAAAGTGTTGTGCTGGTGGGATTTCTCTGTACCAGCGGCTGTCGCTATATTATCAAACTGTCCTGCAAGAGCTTGAGTGGGAGAGTCTACATGAGATGGACTGCTTTTGCCCTTACTCTCTCTCTTTTTCTTAAATTTACAGTCTTTGTTTTTAGATGTGAGTTTCTGGATCACCATTGTCATTAGACGCGAACAGACATCTAGACCTCCCAGTCTAAAGAACTGCCTCTGGAATACTGGACTGGCCATGTACACCCAACGGCATACTGACCAAACATCGGCAGCCCTCCTTATCTGTTCTTTAGAGGGAAGAGCAACACTGTCTGGGGAAAGGCAGGGCAGTCGTCCACCCAATGGTTCACTAGCTGTACTATCATAGCCTGAGGTGTCTTCAGAGTCATTTGCAGAGTCTCTGTCAGAGTCTGCCTCCTTGCTTACACATAAGAAGGCTACACACAGAAAAAGGTTGATTTTATTCAAATGCGCCTCGCCTCGGTTACGCGCTACTGCAGAGAATGCACTTTTGCCCTTTGGGTGAGGGCATGCCTCTTTCAGGCCTTCATAAAACTTAGTGAGGCTCTGAGGTCCATCACCAGCCCCACGTGAATTTAGTTCCTCTACAAGCCCAAGAACAGCTTCCCTCTCCTGAGCTTCCGCTCTTTCTAGCTCATGCACAGCAGAATCCATGTGATGGTGCCACGCTTTCAAGATAAGTGTCTCGAACGCTTTCAGTGCCCACGGACGAGTGCAGTCCAAGTAGATCAACTCTGTGATTTGGTTCAGTCCATTACAACTCAGGAACAGGTCCCGTACCACCCGGCTGAATTGGAAGACAAAATCAGAAGTTATAAATTGGAATCTTGGATTATTTTAAAGGCTATTTTAGGGGGCTTTCACACTTTCACACTGTTAGTTCAAAACAGAGCTTGGTTTGCATGAAAAATAGTTCATTTGAAAGATTTCATGCAGACCTGGGAGTAAACCGCAGTATTGAACCAGAAACTACCTGTAGGATTGTGTTCAGTTGCAATGGAAATTAGTGACACAGGTGACGATTTACCTTGGATACAAGTGAGAGTGAGCATGCAGTGTAATCATGCAGAGTGAGTGCAATCTGAGCAGCAAATGAATGGCTCACAATCAGCTGTCTCCTCCAAAGAGACTGTTTGAAAGTAGCAGAATGGCGTCTTCATGCGACACATACAGTAGACGCAAGCGTTGCTCATTCTGCTGTACATATTAACACCTAATTAATCAAAAAAAAATATTGACCCAAGTTGTGTTTTCGATCATGCGGAGTACATGTTTGTAATGGCATAAGAACTCAAATGCACCAGTGTTCTACAGAATCAAGTCAGTCTGAATCCAGACCATCCCTGCAGGAAGTGCCAGGAACAATCTCACTCAGATTCGGACTGCAGTAAACATGCCCAGTGTGAAAGCCCCCTTAAAGAATCTAAACAACAGTGAATTGGAGGAAAAAGGAAGATAAAAAAACATGGTCATACCTTGACTTCAGCAGAGCAGGCAGAGCTTGAAGATAAACCAGTAGTACCTCAACCGGGAGGCAATGGGTATGGTAACTGCAGACTTGGCTACACGTAGTTGACACACCAAGTTGCTGGGCATGATGGGTTAGTTCCACACCCCGCTGAAGCACTGGATTAAAAATATGAGTGTAGAGTTGCCATTGCACTACTGCATTGCCTCGTAAAGTCAACTGACATACATGACTGGCAATTTGTTGACTCAAATGCCAGTCTTCCCCAAACACAATTTCTTGATAGGCCTCTAAAGCATCCCACTTCCATAGCATGTCTTCAGCTCCTCCACTGGGCAGGATACCTTGGGAACGATAAGAGGGAGATGGGGACGTGGATAAGTTCGATTCTTTCTTAGGTCCATAGCCCTGCAGAGTCTCTTCAAGGCCAGGTAACTGGCTACTATCCAAAGTGCAAATGTTGCAGGAGGCAAGCGTGGCCTTTTCGGAAGGTTGACCACCTCCAAGCTGTTCTAAGACTAGTCTAGTAAGGACACTCAACACATGGGACTGGTAGCTCCGAAGTCCTGGAGCCTGAAATGCCTGGAGCATTGGTCCAATTACAGACCTCGGGTCCATGCAGCAACAGATGCCAGCAGCTTGCACTCCAGCCAGTACCTGCAGCACAGCAGGACCTGATGGTGACAAGCGCTGGAAAAGACGCAAGCATTGGTGGGCACAAGCTGCAAGGCAACAACAGCGTTCGGGGTACCGCACTTCTCCGTCATGACCCTCTGAGATCTCCTCAAAAGGATTACGTCGGGCTGCTTGCTTGAAAGCGGATACCGGTAGTCCTGAGAGGTCACGGTGATGGTGCAAAAAGTGGGAGTATTCGCAGTGACGGTGTCGACGACGTGCACAAACAGACTGGTGTAGCTGCTCTGACTTGGCCCTCTTGACAGCACTGATTATCTTAAGTACATCAGCTATTAGACAACGCAGATGCTCTGATGCCTCATTGCCGACTTCTGAATCTTGAGCTTCTGCTAAGGCCTCAAGGCGCAGAGCTGTTGCCTCAAAGAGCTCCAAGCCACGGTGTTGGACAAATTCATGAACTAACTCAAGAGACTGACTGAAAAAGAAAGGGTTGGGAGCAGAGGCCTGTAAGCAACCTAGTAGTAGCTGCAGGACACCCTCCAAGAGTTCAGGCAGTAGCAAGGCCCGGTGACGGTACCTTGAAAAGGAAAAATCTTCTTGTATCTCCTGCAGAGTCTTCTTTGGCCTTGGAGCAAAAGGGTCAGCTTGCCTTTCTAAACAGGTACGAATCTTTAAAGTTGCTCTGAGGAGGTCAGTCAAGCTTCGACGCAGATTATCAGGCAGTGTCTCATTTTGACCCACATCTACAAACATCAAGTGCAGAATGGTGCGTAAAAGCATCCTTTGAACAAGTGCAATTGGCTCCTCAGTCCAGCCTCCAGCTAGCTCATCGATCCCACCACCACCACTGGGACCACAGCAGTCACCAAACTCTGTGAGTATCTCTGTGAGCGTGGGAACAACGCTGACCGCCAAGCCTGGGTTATGATTGATGGTCATGTCGAATTTGCAGACTTTTTCAAGAAGAGAAAGTAGAACATAGCAAAGGTCAAAAGGCGAGTTCTCCATGCGGTTGAAGATGGAGAGAGTAGTGGGGTCTGTTAGCATGTTAGGATCTAGAGTGTGAGATCCAACCAGTCTCATGTGAGGTTGGGAAGGCTCAATGGTGCCCATGGCATCGAGAGTGGGATGTTGCGATGCTGGCTGTGATGGATTGTTGGACTGATGGAGCTGGCAACTAACACGAATGGCCGAACTGTGGAATCGGCGATGTTTGCTCCCAGTATTTGTGGTCTTATCATCCGAGTTGGCTTCAGAATCTGATGTGGAAAGCTGAGATTTGCGTGCATCCCTCACAGAGTATCGCTGAGCTGTCCTTCGTGAACGACGTGACTTCCAGGAGCCAGATAAACGCTTCCCAGAGTTCTGCACATCACATCTATCTTGCCCCGCCTTTTGAGGGATGGTCCTTCCCTCTTGGCATAGAAACACCTCTAGTAGTGAATGCAGGGTGAAATCTAAAGTCAAAAAGCAGAGTAGGAAAGGAAAAAGTTTAAAGGATTGTCCTGACTAGCATCAACTGGTTTAATCTGGTTTCATTAGAGCAAGTCATGATGACCTCGAGAGGTCTGTTTACAACACAATTACGGGAACTAATAACTCAACAATGTGGAAAGCAGCTGCTAGAAAAGATTAGCATGCCTGCACTAAATATCTTAGGTCTCAAGCTCAATGAAAAGTCTTATCCTTTCCATCATCCTTTAACCGTACTGTTTCATAATTCAAGTCATCTCATGGTTTCACTTATTGTTCATGCAGGCATCTACTTAAAAATGCATTGCATCCTTGCAAGATCACCGCCATCATATGCGTTATAAAACAAATCGTGTAGAAGTATATAATCTTTCCAACTGAATGCAATGCCAGGATGTCATTTAAAATTAGAACATAATTATTTAATTCAAGGCTCAAGGTGGGTTAGAGTATACCTCTAGTGCATTCTCAAAATTAAGACTGTTAATAGCATGCATTATTAGGGGCTTTATAAAATGAAGTGACTCACCTGGGGCTTTTTCCTCCTGAACAGGAATCTTCCAGACCAGAGGTAGCAGAGACAACAAAAGTGTAAGCAGCTCTTCCCGACAGGTCAACTCCTAAGTAAAAGGTTAGAGGTTAATTCAGGATTTGAACTGAATTCTTCACTCAATCCATCCAAATCCAATCAAAAACAGCCTCCTTGTGTTGATGACCACCTAGAAGCAGATTTCTTTTCTAACTTCTGCTTCATAGTGCCCTGCCTCTCTTGGCAAGCTAGTTTCTAGAGCTACGCAAAAGATGGAAAGTTGCAGACAACAAAAACTATCCAATGGTTTTCTTCCAACTGCTTAAGACAAATACAGGTTTTGCTGGACATGAGGTACGACAGCGAGCCTCTAAATACTGGCTCCACCCTGAGCAAGATAGCATTCCTCACAAGGAGAAGCGAAAGCACCCTGACACGTGTGAATTAAAAGCAAATACAGGGGGCTGCGTGCCACAGTGCTGTGTGACCCCAAGTAAACAAGCATCTGGGTGCATACTCATAAGCTAATTAGCAAAGTGGCTAGGGAGCCATATTGACCCACCACTATGCAAACACACAGGCGATTGATGTTGTGTTGAGAGATAGTTAAGCAGTGCTGAGTTCAGAGAAAAGGCCCATGTCTTGTGAGTAAGAACCACTCCAGACATGATTCATAAGAACTCTCACTTCAAAGAGACAGAATGAAGTAGAGGCGGCAGAAAGGGGTCTGAAGAAAAACACAGGATCAAATAAACCCCTTGTCATTTCCTTCGACATCATGCAAAAAATTCTGTTGATAAGTAACACAGAAAATAATTTTGACTTACCTGTAATTAAAAAAATGTAAATAATAAAATAATACAAAATAGTAATGCACTAACAAAGGATGTGCATGGTGCCAGGCAATATTAATATATTGAAAAGCACAGTTTCAAAAGTATAGCCCCAGTCATTTAAGATGTCATAACCGCATTGCTAGGAAGTACATCTTTGCATAATGCGCAAAAGGAAAGCAAAGGAACCGTTTACATGGAACAAACTTTACTCACAGGAACAACCCTAATAACTAATAACCAGAAGTTTATCTGCCAAACAAATTAGTTCCACCGCAAAAACACCAATTTGGAATCACCATAAATAGACTACTGATTTTAAGAAATGTTATTACTGCATACTGTGTCTAAACCGGTGTTATTTTAATATTGTTGGGACAATATTTTTATTAATATTTTGAAATCAATTCTTTATTTTTATATATTTTTTGTTTTCATTTTAATTTTGAAGTTTTAGTAATTCGGTTGTGTTTTTGTCATTATTCTTCTTCTTTTAAAATGTCTATATAGCTACACTTACACTTAGCTTATACTTTTTTATTTTAGTTTTTGTTATTTTAGTACATCAAGTTTAACTAAATGAAAACGAGAAATTAAATATGCTGAAATAAAATGTTAAGGTTTTCAAATATATTTTATTTCAGGTAAAGTTTATTTTCAAGTAACTTCCAAGTAATTTTTTCAATGGTTTTAGTTTGTTTTAGTCAACTATAGAAACCCTTGTCTACATGTAATATAAAACATTTGCAAACATGCAAAACAATAACGCTCACTAACTAGAGTCTTTCAGTTTTGCTATGTTACATCGTGTAGCTCACTTGCAGTGTGTCAACAGAGACATGGGTGTCTGTATTTAGGGGCTTCACTGCTCTAAGCAAAGACTTTCTTTCTCCTTCCTCATGTCTGCAAGGAAAAACCAAGAAAGAAACAGCTAGAGTATATTCCCAGGTTCCATTCATTAAGTTTGTAAGCAGGCTGAGGTCCATAGAAAAGACATTACAACATGAACACAGATCCAACATTAAGCTTCACTAATCATCTTTTTTTTTTCATATAGAACTGAAAACAATATATACATATAGGCAATTCATCAGATTTTGATGCATGGACGCTTAAGTAAAACTTAAGTCACTGTATAAAGAAAGTACTTTAAAGGTCCACTGTATGCAGTATTTATGTGAATGCATGAAGCATTCAGGAAGGCTATTCAGCTCTGTTGTGACTGTGACATATCAACATGCTATTTCTGAACAATGCCAGCATTTGGACTGGAATTCATTCCCTAAATAACACGTCCTTTGAGTTTGACTAATACATTTCCATGACTTGTCCAGGAATTATCCAGTCATTTCTTCCAGAGATGAGCCCGACAGGAAAATAAAAACGGACACATTCTGCACTGTATTTTTCCATTACGTTTTTCCATACACGTCAATCATGTGTGCAATTAACACAATCTAATATGTGTATTGCTTTATCCCTGTAAAGCCTAACATGAAATCTCTCATCTTTTTTTTAATGGAACAGTTTATTGAACCTTTGGACAATAATAATAATAATAATAAACTTGCAATCTTGCATTAAAAAAAGTTTGCATGTGTTTTTTGTTAAGTATCTTACGCATAGCAAGCATTTAAGACTCATATAATAAGATATAGTGAGAACATGGAGCTCATCGAGGAGGAATAAAACAGTTAAATTTTATTCAGAGGCCCAAATTGAGCAAAATATGCAATTTGGTGCAGATACTGATGTTCATTTGGCCAAAAAGTGATGAAATTCTGTTAGCTTGTAATGTAAATCAATGAGATCTTTATAACAGTATAGGGATGTTCATTTCGGTTATTTTTCCTAACCGACAACCGACGCTCGTTAACCGATTATTAACCGTTAACTGACAAGATTATTTTAAATTAGAACTGAATTAAATTAGAAAGGATAAGTGTCTGTGACCCGTTAAAAATACTAACATTTGTTTCCCGGGGATTAATTTTACATGCGCAAAAAGCAGCAAACAACAGAACATGAGGATTCACATATGGTCATATCACATCACGCACCTGCAGCGCTTCTGCGAGCGGAAAAAAACATAATAAAGCTAGGATATATATATATATATATATATAACAAATAAATAGGCCTATACGAGAAACATATTTTTACTTAAATAATAAATTAAGAAAATGAAAGAAAAACTGCAACAAGTAGCCTAGTATGCAGAGTTTCGGTTCATTTTTGTGCTG